TGGTCTTCCAGTATGATGCACATGTCTCCAAACGTGCACATGATTTATTCACACATTGAAGTTGTAGCTTTGATTTGTTTTTTTATATAAGTTTACAGATAAAATGTAATGTGTGAAGCTGTCGCTGGACTAGCAAAGGTCGCTGTTTGGCAGTTTTGTAGTTGCTCCAATCGGAGCAAGCCAGTAGGAACAAACCAGCCAGGGGTGCCAAAATGCAGAGCCAGTCTAGTGTTCCCTGTTTTCCTCCCTTCCTTGGCAGGTGCAGCCCAGTTGCACAAGCCGCCAAAACTGATGAGCATCAGCAAAGCAACAAGCAACTCAAATGCTGCATCCCAGAATTCCTTGCAGTTTCTCGAAGCATGCTGGAGCAAAACTTTGTGGGTGGCAAACTGTCTTGGGCTGGCTCTGCTCTCTTTTTTTTTGAGCTAGTCCAGTGCCAAAGCCTTTTTGGTCCTGAGTACAGGAATCTTTCCTGCATCTGAATGCAGCCAAAAACAAGTTAGTAGGGTTGTCATGTGTTTGTTAGAAAATCCAGCTGACGCAGAGGCCTTGCTCCTTGACAGTGAACGGGCCCGCCTCAGATGAGAGAGAGAACATTTCCAGAACTTTTAAAGCCATGGGGGGGGGGGGAACTTCATTGTTTTAAGGCCTGGGGGGATATTATTTTAGGAAAAAAGTGGAAATTTGGGGAAAACCTGAAATATGTGCAATGCTTAATTTTTATCTAAGCTAACTCATTACTGTTTGAAGCATGTGAACTGGATCAGGTGCACTTTAGCTCATACGATGACCCTGTTTGGTGTATTTATGAAATTTAAAAAATATATAAATACCCTGTTATTCAAACCATAATTAACAATACACCCAGAACAAATTTAGTGTTCAGTGGCTTATATCTTGAATAAACCTTTGTTGGTCTTAAAGAGGCCATTGGACTCTAAATTTGTTCTCCTGCCGACCAACTAATACACCCAGAGTTAGAGAAGAAGCTGCAGACTGCTGCATCCTGAGGTAACATTGCCTATCTGATTTTTTTTTGCCAGCCGAGACAAAAGAATAAAATAAAAGTAGAGATCAGAAACATTGTAGAAAACAAAAACAAGACATCCAGTGCATAGATTTCAGTATCATCAAGTAAGAAACAGATAAATTCCACATGAATGCATGAAGCTGCCTTATAGCCCATCAGCCCATCAAGTATTACCTACTCAGACTGACAGCAGCTCTCCAGGGTCTCAGAAAGAGAAAGGTATTTCACATCACCTACTACTTGGTCCTTTCAACTGGAGATGCCAGGGATTGAACCTGAGATCTCCTGGGTGCCACGCAGATGCTCTACCACTGAGCTGCAGTCCCTCCCCTGTCAGTTTGTTTAAACAGGAAAACACTTGGGGGGAAAAGATCCCCGTAGTACAGTTATAGACTATTAACAACTGTGAACACTGACAAACCTTATAACAACATTGCACTTCTAAGCTGTTTATCATAACCTACACAGTAAGGCTGCGATCCTGTGCTTGTTTCATGTTGAGATGGAAGCCTATGACACTCAGGCCTGCTTCCTGTATGCCAGGGACTGAGGAGGTAGAATATGTCAAAGAGTATTTTCATTGTTGTTTTGAAAGAGGAATTTTCCCTAAGTGGGCTTGAAATATCCTCCCCAGATTTCCACACACACCCCACCCCCATTTCAAGCTTCAGAGAAAACCTGGAAAAAATGTTTTTGGGGTTCCCTTCTCCCAATTTTTTTTAAATTTCTTTTCCAACAAGGGCTTAATGACCCACTCATCCAGCTCATTCTATATGCAGACAGGGGTGAGGGATCAGACTTCCGCAGTGGGCCCACACGTCCCGTTCCATGCCCACTGAGTATTATTGTGTTTGGTTGTAACATTTGCTGGAGGGTTTTATGAGCGTATAAATTATCACGTGGAAAAGGACCAAATTGTAAAAACAGTTCACTGGATTTTGTGTGGGTTAAAGACACTGCAGGGGCCTAGGCACATAGGCATTTATGTGCACAGGCCCTGTGCAAGGGATCCATCCAACGTATGGACATGCAGCATCCCAAAGGGACAGGTATAATTTAGTGCACTAGACCTCCATTGGAACACACTGTGGAAATCTATTGCCAGGAGTTTGCGGCAAACACGCAAGTGCACACCACACAATGGCGGGCGTAGCACTGCTCAAGCAGAGGACCTCAGTGCTGCCGTTCAACACGATGGTTGTCATCGTGACTCACACACACACACCCCCAGCACCAGTTCTTAAGAAGCCATAGTTTCTTATCACGGGGATATGGCATCCTTCATCTCAAAAGCCATGCTTTTGCTTTTGTTCGGCCAATGTAAAACGGCAGCTGCAACCATTATGTGACCTGTACAGTGCATGGTGCCTCAGCAGAGGTGGGTGAGGGCGTGGGTGGCAGTGAGAAGAGTTCGGACTGTTTGTGGGGGATCCCCCACACCAGCGTTTTGATAATCAGGAGCCATAAACTAAAGATGCAAACCCAGGGCAGGTTCTGGGGCAGGAACAAGCCTGGTACTTTAATGGGGAAGGACCGTTTTTCTCCCCCCTGCTAATCTCTTCTTGTATAATAGTGTCTGAACCATGTGATTTGGAGAACAATTATTTCTTTACAAAAAATGTGAGCCCTGTTGCTTTAAGGTCGGGTGGGGCAGTTTAAAAAGGAATTTCTGTACATTATTGGTGCTTGTTGATATTTTTGTGCTCTTTTGTTTGTAATTTTGTGCATAATATACATAGTATGCTCGGGGGAGGGGTTGTTTTCCTAGCCCGGACTTCTGTTCAGTGCTAAACTGGTGGATGCCAAAATGGCCTTGTAAGGAACTAGAGGTCAACTGAATCAAGAATGCTAAAATTTGATCTCATCTGGACACTTTTCACATTTTGAATATGGAAATTTAAGACTATGTGAACTTCAGATTTTAGCCAGGGCTTGTGAATTTTTTAAAAATCTGAATTTGTCGCTTGACAATGAGGAAACATTGGAGTCTTCCTACAAATGTGAAGTTTTTGATCACAGAACTTGGATTTCAGTGATGTTTTCAAAATGTGGAGTTTGGCTTTTGAAATCCCAGTATCTCCCCCCTCCCAAATTTGAATATTGACTTTCATAAATTTACATTTTCAATGGGGACAAACCCATTTATTTCAGCTCTGCAGGCCCCCCCTGTTCCTTTCCTCCTGGCCCCAGCCTCAAATACTCAGTGCATGTTGCTACTTCCTTCTCTTCTAGAGTTCCCTTTGTGGTGGACTGTTGTAGGATGCTGAACGAGGTAGTTTTCATTTTAGTTCCGTTCTCAGACCTGTTCTTGGAGGATAGGTCTATCAGTGGCCACTGGCTATGATGACTGAAGGGAACCTCCACATTCGGAAGCCGTAAACTCGTAAATACCAGTGCCAAGAGGCCACATCCAGGGAAAGCCTTGGCTTCTGTACCCTGTTACTGGCTCTTCAGGGCAACTGGTTGGCCACTCTGTGAAACAGGATGCTGGGCTGGATGAATCCACTGATCATATCCAGCAGGGCTCTTCTTACGTTCTAAGATGGCAGCACAGCCGCCCTGTACCTGACTCCCATTCCACTGTCTTCCCAGTTATGCCACTAGTGGCTGTTGCTCTTGCCACCAGTGCCAAAATGAAGGGTGCCTCGTTCTGAGTCACACCACTGGTGCATCTAGTGCAGGATAGCCCACCGTGCCTAGCGGTAGTTCTCTGGGGTCTTAGGCA